ACGAAGAGAGAATTTATCGTTGAGCCGAGTTTTTTCACAAGTTGGACAATAAGAAGTGAAAAATGCGCACGGGCGCACGTGCAAGAAAACAAAAGTATATATCTATCTATATATGTCTCTGTATGAAAACCTTTTTGAAAACGGGTGTATATATATATATATATATATATATTTTTTTTTTTTTTGGAAAATAAGAACCTGTTTTTAATTAGGATTTTAGCCTAAAATGGTTCTTATGTGAAGGGTGCTTAAAAATGAAATTTTAGCCTAACAGGTTCTTAAATGTTAGGTTCTTATACGCGGGTTTTTACTGTACCGTGTCGAAAATAGACGAAATACCGATACTGCATTTATGATTAGTCACGCTTACTTAAAGTTGTATCCATCCCGGTTGTTTGTTTTATCTCAAGCTTATACACCTGAGAAATCAACCTCAGCCATTGCGAGAAAACGCTAGAAGACCTCGAATTCATCGGTGCAAACGTGAATCGAAAAGCCCGGAATAATTAATTAGATTAACTGTCACAAATTGTGTAAGTCATCTAATCTAGTCTAAAGTAAAGTTTTTCAAATATTGACCTGCATGCGCATTAGACAGGAGAACGCAAATGATGTCCTGACTCCAGCATCGCGCGTACACAATCATAATACAAGATTTGTCAGTAATATGAATTATTTTAGGCCAAAAGTATCCACCAACTTAACTTAGGTAAGATGTCCTTTAAATTGTCCGGTCCAAAAATCTGGGAGACTGTACCGCCTGGTCTCAAGTGCCTGCCATATCATAAGTTTAAGAAAGAATGGAAGTCCTATCTCAGTTCTGATCAACCAAATCTGACCTTGCTTAAATGTTCTATCACTGAGATTTAATTTCCTCTCTTTACTGCTGCCGATTATCTGAACATGACGGTGTCCAACAAGAAAGCTCTTGCTACTTTGGACACTGTACTCAAATGAACTTAATGTGTTTTAGTTAATTTTATTATTTATCAGCTACTTTATTTTCCTAACTACGTTCACTTGTGTAAATATCTTATACAGGTGCCGATTAAGAATTGAATTGAACGGTACCCCAATACCGTGAAGGATCTTCTTTTACCGAATACCGTCAGTCAGAAAGATAAAAAACCGCATACCGCAGGGCTAGAAGATATCGCAATACCGCACATTAAAATCAAAATTACCGAAATACCCCTTGAAAAAAAAAAACAAACCTTAATACCGAAAATCCCCATGCCCCCTCTTCTTCTAGCAACAATTCGAGCGGAAGCACATGTCACGCAGGCTAACAGCTGAAGAGTTCCATTCTTGATAAGCGCCGGTCTGCCAAGCAGGTGGTCCCAGGTTCAAACAGGCAGGACAAGCACTCAGGGTCTTTAAATCACTGAGGAGAATGTGCAGCTGCGATAGCTGCATGCACCACTCTGATTCCTGACATTAGTTAATTTCAATACATTCGTTCAACTCAAGAATTTTTTCTCATTTAACCCTTCGGCGACGGCCAGCGAGAAGCGAAATAAAGCATTTCCACCAATTCCTCTTTTTAGGACTGGGGGTTTCGGTCAAATGGCACGAGAATGGCTTTTTTGGAGGAGCTTTTCGTGCATGTGCATAAGCCGCTTTAATTTATGTGTGCAAAATAAAGTTAAGACCAGACACTGACAATAGGGCCATTTATACGAGGAAAAATAAGACGCGTCTTAAATAAGACACGAACTTTCAGTATAAACGGCACATTTCGTCTAAAATAAGACGCGACTTAGCTAAGACGCGTCTTGTTTTAGAACACCCCTTAACACCTGTTCTTAGATAAGACGCGTCTTAGCTAACACGAGAAAAAACCAAAAACCAAAAACCAAAAACCTCACGGCAAAAACAAAATACCTCACGGCAAACCGAAAACCTCACGGCAAAACCAAAAACCTCACGGCAAAACCAAAGACCTCACGGCAAAACCAAATACTTCACAGCAAAAACCAAATACCTCACGGCAAAACCAAAGCTATTTTGCTTTTGCTGTGAAGTATTTGGTTTTGCCGTGAGGTTTTTGGTTTTGCTGTGAGGTATTTTGTTTTTGCCGTGAGGTTTTTGGTTTTTCCGTGACAGTTGTGGGCCACCATACGACAAGAACTGGCCGATCAAAATTCACAAACGACGTGACGTAATTTTACACCACGTTCCCGCGCCCGCTCAAAAATAGGGAGCAGCCTAGCCTGCGAGCAAGCTCTCCCGGGCACCCCGGCCTGTACCTCCGGGAGCCCTAGGAGAGCTTGCTCGCAGGCTAGGAGAAGACTCTCTCCTTATGCACTGATTGAGGGAGGTTGAGCAACAAAGACGGCAAAGAAAACTTTGAATACTTAAGCGAAGTGAATTCGCTTGCTTTAAACTTAATCGCGCTTATTCCATCTCGTTCAGTTCGTTAAATGTTAGCAAACTCTTTCTCGAGTCAAATTCTAAAGACTGTATCGAAGTTCAGAAAAAGAAAAAGAAAGTCGTTGTTTTGTGTTTCCGCCCTCCACAAAACGTTAACGTACCATTGATATTACAAGAAAGCGAGAGTTTCCAGATATTATGTTAGTTAGGAAAATGAATATTCAAGGCATTGACGTTCTTGATTCACGAACGGCATGGCTGGCCGCGCAGAACTGGATCGGGGACGCGGTTTTGCGTGCCATTTGCCAAATGCAAATCATTAAGCAAAACGACTTGAAACCATCACGAACGCCGACAGAACAATTCAGTTGAAAATGCCTTTCAAAAACTTGCGTTAAATTTCGTTTCTTTCTTACGAAGAAAACATGATTTCAGACGAAGAATTTCTACTTTTGTATGACGAATACTCTTCGAAGAACCCAGAATTTGAATCTCTGGTTTCAACCTGAGAACTCGCGTTTTGAAGCCGGTCCGTGACCACAGCTCAAGAACGTCTTGACATGCGCAGTGGCTGTCACGCTGCAAAAATACTTCTGGTTGGCGTCTGAGGTACCAAGAACGTCTGGTGCTCAAGTTCCCTGGTTATGCGTTTCGACCCCTTGTTAGTTTCGGTGGGAATAGAGTGAATTCCACTGCACCTGTTTTTATGTGTTCCAGCTTTATTCTTCGGCCCGTTATTTAACAATTAGTCACCTGGGGCGACTAATTGTTTTAGTATAAGTTAGAAAAAATAAAATTATTGATCAATTTCCGACTACAAAACATCAACAAATCTGGCTGCCATTTTGAGAACTGCTCGCCTTCAATGTTATGATCACCGTGCGGTGATTATAGCGGGATGAAGCAAAGCTCCTAGCCAATCATAGCGCACTATTTTCGATAATCATCAATGTAATTATACTAAAAACGTATATACTGTAAATCCTCCATTATAAAGCTACTTGGGGGTCTTATTTATTTGAAGCACCTTTGAGGGAGGCTTAATATAGAAGGGAGGCTTATTCAACCTTACAGCGAAATATAGCGCTATACCGCTGCCGAACGTATCAATTCTCCATAAAGAACAAGAGCACAAAGTAGAAAAGCTCATCACATGAAGTTGGTGGTCATAAAGCCGATAATAAAAAACAATTTCTCCTGGGTATCACAGTCATCCCAAGACAAATTGAAAACAATGCTTATGCAACATTTTGGGGGGGCAGATAAGGTGCAATGTGGGAGATGTGCAAGTGGTGTGTATGTAACACCTTTTTGAATTAACTCCTCAAAAATCAAAAACCCTGTGATCAAATCTTTTCTTTCTTTCTTTTTTTTTTCTAATGGAATATTCTGAACAAAAGGAGATGGAAATTGAGCTAACATGGAGCACATAAAAAACCCGGGGGGGGGGGGGGGCCTCTCAAAAAAAAGGGGGGGGGGGTGCTCGTAAAAATTTTTAAATAAAACCCCAAAAGAAGACCCCTTGGGGGGGGCCCAAAGTTTTTTTTTGACCCCCAAAAAAAACCAAGTATAAAACAAAAAAAATAAAAAAATTAAACAACAACAAAAATGCCAAAAAAACAAACAAACAAACCAACCAACCAACAAACAAACAAAACGAGAGTCAAATAACCTTTAGAGGAAATCTGTCGAGTATTNACGTATCAATTCTCCATAAAGAACAAGAGCACAAAGTAGAAAAGCTCATCACATGAAGTTGGTGGTCATAAAGCCGATAATAAAAAACAATTTCTCCTGGGTATCACAGTCATCCCAAGACAAATTGAAAACAATGCTTATGCAACATTTTGGGGGGGCAGATAAGGTGCAATGTGGGAGATGTGCAAGTGGTGTGTATGTAACACCTTTTTGAATTAACTCCTCAAAAATCAAAAACCCTGTGATCAAATCTTTTCTTTCTTTCTTTTTTTTTTCTAATGGAATATTCTGAACAAAAGGAGATGGAAATTGAGCTAACATGGAGCACATAAAAAACCGGGGGGGGGGGGGGGGGACTCTGCATATGAAAGGGGTGGGGATGCTCGTCAGAAATTTTGAATTAAACCCCTAAAGGAGACCCATCTGGGCGTGGCCCAAGCTTTTTTTTTGACCCCTAAAAGAGACCATGTTAAAACACAGACAAATGAGAAATTATGACACAGACAAATGAGAGATTATATGAATGTAGTAAATAAATCGAATTAAAAATATACCTATCAAATATATATTTTTATATTTTTTCGCGTGCACCCTAAACGAGACCTTCACGGCTAAATATGATGGCATTTTGCCCAGAACACCCTAAGTGAGACCAAAATCCAAAATTTACACCCCTAAGCGAGACAACGAGCATCCCCACCACTTTCATATGCGGAGTCCCCCCCCCCTGGGGGGAAAAATAGGTAACTAGGTCATAAACAAAGTTCTAATGGAATCCTGATTTCAAAAGTATCGGATTTCCAGATCCACATTTGTGTACCAGTGCAGTCCTTGGGTTTGATTCCCTTTGTCTGTTAATTTCTGGATTTTCAACTTCTATTAATTTTAACCTTGAGTGCACGGACCAATGAATTCTCCAATGCTACATTTTACATATTTCCAATCTCAATAATAGCATCCACTACATTGCAATTCTTTCTCAAAACTTTTACTGCAAGGTTTCTTTCTACACCAAGTTGCTTTACAATCAAATCAATGTCCTCCTTTTCCAAACCCTCCTCGCTCTCGGAAATTTCTCCAAATGCTAGAAAGAGAGCTTTATTGAACAGCATGCTCTGAATATTGTCTCTTGTTACCATCTTGCCTTTGTGAATAAGTTTTAACTTGGACACAGGGATGCCAACACAATGTGAAATCATCTGTAAAATCGCATCACCATTCTCTGTTGATGGAACACTCAGTTCCTGTCTCACTTTGTTGTGTTTGATTATTATTGTAACACTTTTCCCTATAAAAGTGTTTTCAGATTTACATATATCAAGCTCTTTTAATGGAGTCTGATGGACTTGATTCATTGTGTCATCCTGCTGCTGTGAGCATTCAAAGGTCCCTTCTCCATCCTCCTCTTTCTGAACTTTGCAAACGAAGCAGTTACTAATGGTACTTGCTGATGTGATGCTATAAGAATGTCCCGTGAGCTCATCTTGCCGGTTAAATTCTTTACATTTGCACCCGTCATCTTCCAGAGATGATTTCAAAGTAACTGATTCATTTCCAGCACATTTCAAGAAAGGCACATCAGATAGGCTTGACTTGCTTGAGACTTTAAAACAGTTAGCTTTTGTTAATTCAACATGGTCCACTTTTCTTAACTTGTGGCAAGCTGACTTGTGGCATTGCCAATGCCTGATTTGACATTCCTTTGAGCTGAAAAAAATAAAGATGATTATGATAATAACAAACACAACAACAAGAACAAAATCTTGTTATTACTAAAATAATATAAGGAGCTAACCTAGTAAAAGGCTGATTTTCACTAGCGATGGAGTTGGAGTTCTAATCAGGAGCATAGAACTTTATGATCTAGTGAAAAAAGCATTCTGATTGCACTTACTACTCCGCCATTTATGATCAAGTGAAAACTGGGTCATCAGTCGCAAGCAGAAGCAGAAGAACTAAACCAATCACAAAGCCTGGGGATGTGCATTGTGATTGATTTATCCTTCTGCTTCTGCTTCTGACTCCGACAATCTGGTTTTCACTAGATTGCAAACGGCAGACATAAGCGGAGTCAGAAGAAAATGGAAATGTTCTGATTCTTCTGAATGCGATTGTGTTGCTCTTATGACTCTGCATACGACTTGACTCCAATTTTTTGATTTTCACAAGGCCACAAGCACTCTTACAACTCTACTTACGATTCCCATTCGACTTCGTCACAAGTGAAGACCAGCCTCACAGTAAAGAACCGTTTCAGCTGTTATATATTTACAAGGAGAGACAAAATTTGAGATCACCCAAAGTTTAATATAAGCTTATATGAATATATAGACAGGCTCGCTTACCCTCTAAGATAATGATAGTCACTTTGTTATTGATCGGGGCATTTTGATCGGTCTTCATCAGGTGATGGTGCTAATTAATTGATTTTGACTGCCTGGATGAAGACCAGTCAAAATGTCGCAATATTTCGCGATATAATCTTAGGCTTATTAACATCAACATAAAGATCCGAAGATTAAGGTGTAGCGCATTAATCGCGTAATTTGAAAATCTTACTAAGGAAACATTTTTACCAATAGAATACTTGTCCGCAGGCACTGCACCGTTTCATGAATCGTTGTTTGTGTCCACAGTTTGCACAAAAGATAACCTTCTCGTCCGCCATATTGGCTCCGCAGAACTCGGCCAACACTGGGAACTTGTTACTCGTTACTCATGCGCAGTAGTGACTGGAACTTTATTTTGGTTTTCAAGCACTTCAGCCAAGTTGAGGTTTTATCGAGTTTAAAATGAGTTAAGAATATGGGTTGAACGGCAAACATGGTAGGAATACCTTCAATGTGTTGTTGTTAAAGCGATCCTGATCATTTGTGAGTGTTATAATAGTGGTATTTCGATTTTTAGGGTGCAAACGCTTCGCAGCTGGAGAAGGAAATAGGCCCCCAAGAATTTCCTCAAAATGAACATTACTTTGGTCTGGTTAACGTAAGTATACTCCATATTAATTGTATAGTTGCTTTTGTTGTTTTTGCGCCAAGCTTGACAACGAACTAACTGCATTTTTATTTCTTTCTTCTGCAGTTTGGGAATACATGTTACTGTAATTCTGTGCTGCAAGCGTTGTTTTTCTGCCGGCCATTCCGCGAGAGGGTCTTAGCGTACAAACCACTGTCCAAAAGGAAAGAATCCCTTTTAACATGTTTAGCTGATCTTTTTGGTAACATTGCTTCGCAGAAGAAAAAGGTTGGTGTCCTGGCACCCAAAAAATTCGTCGCGAGGCTAAGAAAGGAAAATGGTGAGTTTTAATATTTGTACCGGCCATTCAATGTGTCGATCAGTCTACATCAACAGTCTGACATAATTAATTGGTCAACTTGTAAACCGTATTTAAACTGAATAGTGGAAAATCTTTTTATCGTTTTCAAGCTTGATTTCAGTTTTTTTCAGGACTTAATGCTATTTTTATCGCTCCTTGAAATCTTATGATGTGAAAATGTGATGACAGTTCTAAGCTTGTTTGTTTGTTTGTTTTTTTTCGTTTTTGCTTTGATCTGCAATATTTAAATAGCAGAACACATGGCTGAGAAGATTTTTAACATTTTAAAATCTTAGAGAATGAGGTTAATCTTGTACCCAGATCTCTATTTGACAAAGCCGAAGGAGAGATTTGGTCAAATCTGATTTGTGCACTTGATCACCTGTCAGGAATGTGACAGGCGATGAAAGAACGCATGCTCGAAATAAATCCTCAATTTTAGACATGTTAAACAATGAATTTGCATGAATTTGTAAAGGCGTGAAGTTTTCTCTAACAAAACATGGTTATACGCATATCTTAAGTATGAACCAACCAACTTGTTGTCGTTTTTCTTTGTAACATTAAATTCAACATGACAGCTAGTTAGTTTAATATTAATTATCATAGCATGTGCTAAAAGCTCAAAGCAGTACATGTCAGCTTCTACGCGAGAATTTTTTTTTACCATTTTCAAAAGTCTTAATTTTGATACCAAGAGAGAGTTTTAAAAAATCATTAAAGATGAGATAATAATGGTTTTGCAAGTAATATTGAGACAGAAAACTACTTTTTCAGTGAAAATATTTTATTTGAACAGAACTGAAGACATTGCACATACCATAGCACGTGCAGGAGACAACACTCACGTCGCTCGCTCCCAATCTAGCCAGTCAAGAAAGCTAAATTTTCTTACTTTACCAGATCTGGCCTTCAGCTTCATAAACAAGAGATCTGGGTACGAGATTAGAATAAGGTTGAAAAATGGTCGAAAAACAAATATTCTACATGTATATATATGTTGCAGGTCAAATTTGATTTCAGGTTAAATTTTTTTAACCTACAGTGTAGGTTGATTCTCAATTTCCTTTGTCTCCTAGCCCTAATTATTCATGGATTATGGCTAGGAGACAAAGGAAATTGGGAATCAACCTAGGTTAAATAGAAATTAACCTGAAATCAAATTTGACCTGTAACATATATATTATGTTTGTAATGACACTTGGCAACCGCATTTTTTATTGTAACCTGCTTTATGAGTTTTGTAATGAATAACCAAATCAGTCTATCAAAAGTATGTTTGGATGTGGCTGAATAAATGAAAGGCATTTGGTTTTGTTGGCTCAGGATACAACACCTACCCCTGCACGTTATACAAAAACCATTTATTTATTTGATCACTTTCACCAAGATTACAATGCTAAAATGAGACTAGAAAAAAAAAAAAAACATTTGAAACAAGAGATGCAGGTGCGCAACACACAAAAGAGTGAGGCTCCAAATTAAGTGTGCCCTTAAGAAACATACACAAATACTAACTACGTAAACATTTAAAACATTTTATAAGAAGTACGAAAATCCTATTTCCAAAAACGATAAGAACGCATCACTCCCGCAGCCCATAAGAAATCTCAGTAGCAGCAGTTGCCAGCTAGTAGATGATTAGGTGACCTACTGCATTTGCAGCAGATCGACTTCCAGGTGTTAAAGGTGTTACCTTATTTAATTATTATTTGTGTTTTTATAATCATTCAAAAGATTTTCAAGCTTAATACCTCAGTGCAGAATTTCTTTGAATTAGTACAGTGTTCTCACCAGACTGCGCCATTGCATGATTCTTGCACTTTTTAGCGAAATGGCGCATTTAAAAAGTCCTTAAGGGCCCTCAGGGCGCAGAACTTTAGCAATTATTATCAAGCTAAAGCGCTGCAAAGGATCCAGGAAAAGATAAAGGGGAACGCGTTTTCCAGAACTTGTGGACTTGCTGCATCGACTTGCATTTTTGCTGCATCAAAGTCAAAATTTCTAGACAAGCCTTCTTGAATGACATGTTTTGCAGAGTGTCAAGTGTCATTTTTCAAAGTCCATACGATCAAATTTTTTTACTGCTCTGTGCAGAATGAGTTTGTTTAAATTAGTGATTGTTGTATTCTGCATGTTGAATGTGACTACATGCAACAATAATCTTTTAAAATGTTTGATTTTATTCAAGTGTTTGTAGTACACTGTATCACACAGATTACAAATTATTGATAACTTCAAACTTAGTTAACTCTCTTGATGCATTCTTTCTTTTACACCAGTTTCGGGTAACACCCGACCTGCAATGTCACAAACGTCTTTGGATTTTGGGTTTTTCTGCAATGTCAAACAAAATCTGAAGAATTGGTGCTTTCTCTCCTTCACACCTTTGTGGACCTCTGAGGAAACAAATGGTCATAGTGATTTATGATTGGTGGATTTCGATCCATTTGTGCGTTTCTGTGTTTCAAGGTTCATTGCATTTGGTCGCTTGTTTTTATAAAATGCAGTAAATTTTACCTTAGCTCTAAGTTTTTTTTTATCTTCTTTATGCTGAAACATGGCAAGTTTAGATTCCCAAGGTGAAATTGTTCCTATAGTGCTTCCAAATCCAGAAGAAACACAGATATGTGAGGGTGAGGCCTCTGCTTGTTTATATTGCCGCCTTTATTTGACAAACACAGTGGATGCTACAGTAACAGTTTGTTTGACATCGCAAAAAAACCCAAAATGACATTTTTGACAAGACAGGTTCTGTGTTATCGGAAACAGCTGTAAATGGCCTAGAAACTTCAAGACCTGGGGTCCCTGGGCCACAAATAACAAAATTCTGGTGAGAACACTGTTGTATATTTCAAGATTTCTACGGATGTCATTTTGTAAGGGGTATTCTTCCTGTTTCAATACCAGTCCTAGTCAATTTTCTCTTTTGGAGTTTTTGTATATGATCAGTTTGGCCAGTAAATCATTGATTGTTTATGTATTGGATGACTGTCAAATCTGAAATGCTGTTTGACAAATGCATCAATAATTGAAAGAATCATTTCCCTATAATTCAGGGTAATTAATTGAAGCTTAAATTTGGCCATTGATTGCACATTGTAAAGAATTTTATGGAATAGTTACAAACTGTAAGTCAATCAGGAGTAGAGAAAAAAAACAACAAAAAGATTAAAGAAGGTGATGTTTTTCCTCGTCTTTAATAAGCTCAATATTAATTTATCATCATCATCATCATCATCACTGTACCGGTAATGTACATTATGTCCGTAAAATTATAATGCTGATCATTTATTTTAAAATAATTTTTTTTTTCCGTAGAGCTGTTTGATAACTACATGCAACAGGATGCCCATGAATTCCTTAATTATTTACTGAATACAATAGCTGACCTCTTGCAAGGTAACAGTTCTACATAATGTTATACATGTAAAATTGCAGTTTAACCGTGCTATACAAGCAGCCCATTACATAGCGACCTCTTTTTCCCAGGCCAGGCAAAAGTCTAGTCAGTTTTTTCAAGCTTTTAAAAATACATTGTAATATCAGTCTGTGCCCCCATTGTTATGACAAGTGACCACTTTTTGGCATCCTTGAACATTCTTTTCTTCACAATTTGACCTCTTTATTTCATTCTCAATGGATTCTTGTTGACATTAAGTGAAGCAGTCATTGAAAAATGATTAAGTTCTTTCTTGAAAGCTGTGTAAAGTGCATAAATCAGAATTCAAGCATGATGTTTGACCTAGTTTAAAGACTTTCAATTTTAAAGTCTTTAAACTAAGTTTAATCAATTTTGTCATCACATATGGTAAAAATGCCAGAAAGCGTACTAGTTAATAGTATATATGTTACAGGTCAAAATTAAATTCAGGTTAAAATTTTTTAACCTAGGTTGATCCTCAATTTCCTTTGTCTCCTAGCCCTAATTCATGAATAATTAGGGCTGGGGGACAAAGGAAATTGAGAATCAACCTAGGTTAAAAAATTTTAACCTGGATATAATTTTGACCTGTAACATATACGTAAAACTACCTCATTAACCCATTCGCTCCTGGAGATTTTGCCGAAAAACGCGTTTTGAAGTTAGTCGAGTGGTTTTCTGGTCACTGTCGTGCTATAAAGGGCTAAAACTTACCACAAACCGGTTTACAGGTCGTACACTTGGCGGCCTTCTGATCCAGATGCAAAACATCAGCTTGCGAAGTTCGGGCATGCGCAGAAAGCAAAATTTCGAGATAGTTTTTGGGTTTAAAAGTGACACAGCAGTCTTGACTTTTATTTTTCGCTTTTTCTCCCCGCTTCTTTTTTCGCTTTTCTTGCCTCATTTTTTTTTCTCTTGCTGGGCATTTAGTAGCCTTCATTTTGGTGGGAAGAGTTTTTAGGAAAGCTTTTAGGATCTTAGGATTTGGTGAAAGGAAAGGTAGGTGGGCAATGGAACAAGATTTTCATGGAGATTTTCAGGTCAATGTCACGTGGTTTTTTGCTTCTTTCTCCGGTGTCCTTGACTGAATTGTGCTCATTCTGGTATGGTTTGAAAGATCTCTTCACTCTACACAAGTTAGCGAAGAAAGTTGTCCTTGACCGTTAAAACTGATGACATCACAAAGGGTAGAAAGGACCTGGATCCGCACGGGCGGTTACGGGCAGTTCAGGGGCGAATGGGTTAATGAAACTATGCTATTCGATTGTTGCATGTTGTGACCAGCTTATCATACATGTAGCCCAATCAAGGTCATGTCTACTGTACATGTACAGCTATAAAATGTGGTCAATCCACAGTTCCACTGTGCTGGTTGGTGAGGCATTTGTGCTTGAAACTCCAGTGTTATCACAATTAGTGGCTGATTTTGAAATTGAATCTGTCATACATTGTGCATTTGCTGAAAACAGAAAAGAAAGTTAATATTCTTCAAAATGTAAGCTGTGTTTAGAAACTGTTAGATGATGTGCATTATTGAAGTGAGTCTAACATGATTTGATTTTTCTTGTTTTAGGTGAGCGTGCAAAGGAAAAAGAAAAAGACAAGCACAGTAGCACCAGCAGCGTCAGTAGCAAAAGCAGCATTTCATCAGCAGGAACAATAAATGGAGTATCAACAAACCAAAATGGCAAACCAGAGCCCACTTGGGTTCATGACATTTTTGAAGGAATACTGACAAATGAGACAAGATGTCTCTGCTGTGAAACAGTATGCACTATCTCATTTTGTTTGGCTAAGTTCTAAGGATATGTTTTAAATACTTTTTGCAGTAGGTTATCAAGGTGTTCATTAGGCATCAGAGATCAGAAAATTCTCCATTTATTACACAGAATTCTCCGGGTCATGTTCGGTAGCCTATGACTACCAATACTTTTTATACAAACATGAAGCCTTTTTCAAAATACATTGTATTCTCCTGTGACGTTACACCTTTCTCCTGCTACAAGAATTCGTAATGAAAAACCTAGGTTACTGTTTTATTCTTTATTAAAAAACCCTGGTAAAATTATGATAAACTGTTATGACCATAAAAAAGACATTGATTAGCTAGTTAAAAGTTTGGGGTCTTATTAAGCAAACCATCTCAATTTCTTTGCTGTTTATACAACTGTACACTGTACATGCTTGTAATTAAACAAATCAGATGACTGCGTATTTTGTTTAATTGATCCTCTTATACAAAATACTCAGTACACTGGCACTGGGACCTCTAGTTTATTATACATGTAACATGTCTTAAGGGAAGTGACTTCTGGGACCTTGGTAGTTGACCTCCACTGAACCTATTCGGCCAAAGCAGAAAAAACAACAATATTCTTTAAATTTCTGTCTGGATGGTGCTTCGTGTAAACCCAACTTTTGCAACATATTTTTTTTAGCACGATTCTTACATGCAGTGCATCAGCTCCTCGTAAACGGCATACACTGCACTTGCAGTTTGTGCCAAAAAAAAAAAGTAATGTTCACATGAAGTAACACCCAAACGGCAGTTTGAAGAATATTATGGTATTTTCCGCACTGACCAATAGAGGCTGACTAGATTTTCTTACTGCAAAGCTGTGCTCTAAGAAAGCTTGAAGGGAGTCCAAAACCTTTGAACCTGTGGAGTGTGAATTCAGAGTGCCTAGCATGTAGGTTCAGGGGTTTTCAATAAGAGCCAGTGGCCGGTGAATTTCGCCAGCTGTTTCAGGTGAACTGGCCACCTACTTTTCTTTGGAAATTACCCGCATTTGAATAGAGTATTCATGTGCTGTCAATGAATAAAAGAGCCAAAATTTAATGATGTCTGTGTCTGTTCAAACACTCTAATTTTTGCTCCTGAATGCTGGAAATGCATTCTAAGAGGCCAAGATTTCACGTGAGTTTTTTCCATCTCCACCTACTCCATAGCCTTTGCCACCCACTTAAAATCTTATTGAAAACCCTGTAGGTTATTACTGCAAAGTGTTCCATTTACCCAGATGTACATTATACTTATCTAGAGAGAAGTCACAGTGCCATGTGCTGCTAGAATACAGCCTGTCTTGTACGGGTTTGCTAAATACACATTTTTTTGTTCTTTATTTTTTTTTCTAGGTTAGCAGCAAGGATGAGTCATTTCTTGATCTTTCAGTGGATGTTGAGCAAAATACATCAATAACACATTGTCTCAAGTGAGTTTTACTTTTATCAAAGCAACTTAGGCAGGTATGTTACTGTTAATGGATGTGAAATTCCTTGCAGCAACACTTGTAGCAAGCTTCAGAAAACATCAATGTAACTGGTAAATATGATAAAGACATACATGTACTAATATTATTTTCTCTGTTTGTCACTTAACAGAGGATTCTCATCAACGGAGACACTTTGTAGTGAACACAAGTACTTCTGTGAAACATGCTGCAGTAAGCAAGAAGCTCAAAAACGGTATTTTGTCTCAACAGAATAATATTTTGTCCATCTCAAGTTTGCCAGGGTACATTGTTTTTATACCACTTTTATTTTGTTCCAATTAAGTACACATGAGCCTGTTCACAATGAATGTAAAGTGTGTTGACTTCAAGAAACATGCATTTTAAGTATGACCAGTTTTGTCCCGGCATGGTGGTACAGCTGTTTTTAAAAACATGCCAGACGTACATGTACATTGTACAGATCAACAGCAGTCAGGGTCCAAGCATTGAAATGTTGTTGTTTCCCCGGACAATGTCCAGTGAATCTATTTGTCCAGCTTTATAAATGTATCGTGGCAGCTTACATTATTTTGTACTGCTTGGGAAACTCAGCAATGGACTACAGTGTCACCATGTCCAGGGGGAATACTACTACACAGCTCAGTTGGTGTAGTGCCCATTGATGAATGCAATGCATTCTTTACTTATTTTTGTGGCATTAGGGAGATCTCTTTGATGCTTTTTGTTTGATTTTTCTTCTTTGTCAGGATGAAAGTTAAGAAGCTTCCAAAGATCCTAGCACTTCATTTAAAGAGGTTCAAATACATGGAGCAATTACAAAGATATGCAAAGCTCTCCTACCGTGTCGTGTTTCCTTTTGAACTCAGACTGTTTAACACAGTAAGTATCATAGATCACCGCATTAAATTGTTAAATTGTCCCTTGTTAGTACTTAATTATTTATGTATCGTATTAATTGCATACTTTCTCATATTATGTGAAGTGCCAGGTATTCTATAGGGGTGTGCTCAGTTGATTTTATGAATTGTGAAATAGTACTAATGAATTTAGTTCCATTTGCGAAACTGGAGCATAGTGCTTGAAATAAAACGGCGTTTCTCTTGCCCCAAGGCATACATGTACTTACTACCTTGAACGGCAATGAGATGGTGGATGATACTGCCTCTGAAGCGTTGTTAGAAAAAAGAGAAAGATTAGTTGATGTAACAAAGTCTTCCGGTTTCTTAGTGATTTTTCTTTGAGACTCTTTTTTTGAAGAACAAAATTAGATTGCTTTAGCAAAGATAGCGCTGATGTTTGTACCAGAGTTATGTGATATTGATCTGGAGACATCACTGTTTAATAAACAAATCACAAGTCATTTTTAATAACGGAAAATTCATTAATAAAGACTCTTCAGGAATATCTGACCAGCAATTACAGTATTACCATTCCTGTACGAGTGAAGGTCAATCGGATGCGTCGTAAGACTCCCAAGTGTTTTGGGTCTTTAATTATGAGTTGTCTCTCAATATGATCCTGTTTCTCCAACGTAAGTTAGATACAGTCACTCCAATGACTTTGTTCCTCTTAGTCACTGTCAAAATGTTCCAATCCGGACAGTAATTTGTTCATTACCACGGCTTTCACAGCTTACCTTAAAACAGCTATTTCTGACGTTGTACTGAACCTTCCGAGCTATAAACATAAAGTTGCATTTGTGGAACAGTTCTGTTTAACTGTTTATTTGTTTGTTTCTTTTTTCGCAATAGTTAGTTAATTTCTCTGACTTTTTAATTGTGTTAATTGTAGTCTGACGATGCTATTAATCACGAGAAGCTTTATGATTTGGTTGCTGTTGTGATCCATTGTGGCAGGTATGTATTCATTCAACAAATAACTGTGAACAGACATATACGGCAGTCTTTTAACGTTAAGTACCTCGTACTAGCCTTTTTTGAGATCGGATCGCTGGGCCATAAATTGGGTGGTTTGGGGTACGATAGACTTCCACACAGGCCGTCTTTATGAGCAACGAAATCGCAATTCATTCGCGGCTCATTTTGAGCTACAAAGTCGCGAAAACCTTAAACGTACAACGAAAGTCGCGAGATTTGTAGAAAGTTAAGGGGAAGGACGAAGTGATCCGTAATTTTGCTTCACGGATCGAGAAAACGTCGCTAAAAAATGATTGTGTGGTCATATTCTTCTTTGGGTCAAGAAATAGGCGCCTGGCAAGCCATAAAAACGTATTGATTATTTTTCCGGAGGGAGGAAACACTAAAAGCGCAATTAGAGTGTTTTCGTTTGAGTGTCGTAAAACCAAAACCAAAGTAATTACTCTGGCCAATCACATAGGACACAGACAATACATTGAACCAATCAAAACTCGAAGTAATTACATGTGGCTGACGCAAAGCGCGGGAAAAAGTCACAATTGGCTTTGGTTTTACTTCTGATTGGATGAAAAGGTGGCGCGAATCTTTTAAGCCAATCGCATCGTGTAGAAAGTGCAAAACCAATTACTTTTCGACACTCAAATGAAAACCGCTCTAATGAGCCACATTAATTTCGTCGCCATCACGCACTTGTAGTGGTAGTGTTAAAGGAAAAGGGAGGGTTCGTATAGCGGCTTATGGACCCAATACTGGCCAATCACAGAACAAGAAATGAAAGCCATAAATAATATTTGTTCCGTTTACATTTTACGCGCATTATCCCCGCGAGTAGTTTTCTGTTTGTTTATTTATTTATTTATTTATTTTTTGGGCGAAGTAAATTTCATACCTTCACCTCTGTTTTGTTGTTCTATTTTATCAAGAGACTCACATTCCCAAATGAAACTTTACAACTGTTTCTTTTTTCTAATTTTAACTTAAGTCACTTTTGGGCGTGAAAAGGTTTAAAACCTACGGAAGCACGTTGCCGTGCAAAATCATAAAACAACTGTGGTTACCTTCAACAGAAATAAGATAACAGGTTATAAATTTTGTTCTTGATCTTTTTGCAGTGGACCCAACAGAGGTCATTATATAACAATTGTAAAAAGTCACGGCCTTTGGCTACTTTTTGATGACGATATTGTAGAGGTAAGAAGTATTGTAATACTTGTTGCAACAAGTAAATATTTCAGTATGGATAAAGGAATAACAAAAGGAAAACTCTCAGTGTGACCAGCGAAGTCTCTTTCCAGTGGGGGATGGAGAGAAACTCCCCTGCCAAAAAAAGCGGGGACATCCACCCTCCGTTAGTACAGAAACGTGTCAGGTCGTAGTAGCTTAAAGTTTGTTTCATAGCTAAAACCGCTAATAATTATAGCTATCGCGTTAGTTGCGTAGTCTCCCATACTGTATAGGTAGAGTTCGTCGCCGAAGAAAGTCTGCAAAGGGGGTTCTAGGCTACCTAGGCTGTAGACGCACTTGCGGTTGCCTACAAAGCTGATATTAGTTTTTCTCATGTCTATTTTGCAGAAAATCGAAGCGCAAGCGATAGAAGAATTCTATGGCTTGACGTCAGAAATCCAGAAATCTTCTGAATCTGGTTACATACTCTTCTATGAAGCGAGGGGATAAAATGAAACGATGAAAATAAGCTCAAATTCGAGAAGTCTTTCACTGCCAGAATCGCGCCCCGTCTGTACGCCTATCATTGTTTTGATTCTAAATGGAAACTTTTTACCCGGTTTTGCCAGGCTTTCATCCTCTCATATCTGGTGGAAATAGTGAAAACGATTTCCCAGGGTGGGGAGTTTTGAAAACACCCCTTGTGCTCGCGTGGACTAATGAAAACTAGTACCTGGAAGACGTCGAGAAAAAAAAAGATTCAAACGAAAATATGACGCGCGAGATCTGGAAAAGGGCTGTGGCAAGTTGTGGCGGGAAAAGAGGGAGCGCCGCCTCCTCTCTCCTCAGCCTCCACGCCTTTTTCGGGATCTTAGCATTGCACATCAAGCTACATTACTATGTTGGAACCTGAAAGAGGCTAAATGAAAATGGATCTCTTTATCAATGGTAATTAATCGTAGTCCTTCCAAGCGATAGTATGCAGCTCTTCAATTTCATTGTATCTTTAATAGCACGGAGCTCGAATGGTTCAGAGCTAGGGTCCATTTTCATTGTTATTTTTTACTGTTCTCTCAGCCAATCCTGTGTGACCTTGTAAGAGGTGCATACCACCGAAATTTTAGGCTCGATACCAGCCGCTGTTCAGGGAAATGAGCCCGCGCTAACAAGACTGCGGACCGGAAAAGACCCCACTCAAATTTAACATTGCTAATTATACCTTGGACGTCTTTTCTTCCTTATGAAAAAAAAAAAACCTTTTGTCAGGGAAGTTTTGCTTTCTAAATAATTATTCATGCTAGTCATCGCGTAATATGATAAGACTGGTGCTGGTAGCCGGTCTCGAAAGTCGAACGTGTTGAGCCATCAAAGGTCGACAGGCTAGACCTTGAAGTGGGTCATCTTCATCCACCAGTTTAGCCTTTCGGAGGGGTTAAAAGATAATCCCTTTTGCGAGGGTGAGTGGGGGGGGGGGGGGGGGGGGGGTTGGGGGGGAAGTCAAGTTTGACGGGGGAAAATCGTGGGGAGAAAAAATTAAAAAAAAAACGGGACCGAATTACAAAAAAAAAAAATTTTAAAATACAACTAAGGGGCCAGGGTTTTCTTTCCTGAAAAACGAAAAAAAAAACAGGAAAGTGGAGGAGGCCGACAAGGGGCCCAAAAAAGTCGAAACTTAACCCATCTTGATGGGGAGTCAGAGGTAAGTATGGACGGGCGGGGTGGGCCGGGGCGGTAAGAGGATGGGATGGGAGGGACAGAGAAGGGGGCAAGGGTAATTGTTGGGGTTGTGTTTTTTCCCCTTCGGTTTTGGGGTGTGGGGGGGGGGAAAGGCGGGGGGGTGGGGGGGGGGGGGGGGGGGGGGGGGGGGGGGGGGGGGTGTTCGGAGGGTAGTCAAGATTGACTGCGGACAATCTGTGGGAGAAAAAATTAAAACAAAAACGGGTACGTATTGACAAACAAACATAATTTAAAATCACAGCTAGAGGCCGAGGTTTTCTTTCCTTGAAAACGAAGAAAAAAAAGTGTAAGGTGAGGATGCCGACAGAGGGCTCGAAAAAGTGCAAATTTAAGCCTTGATTATGGGAAATACTCGTTATACGGCGTGTGTAGACTGGTCTTACGTGATATAGTTCTAGTCTGAACGTCAGTTACCAAAATTCTGTATAATAGTATTGTGACCATACAAGCGGTACCCCTTTTGGCAGTATATTAGCTTTTTATTATTATTTACTTATTTTGTTTTTAATATTGTACGAAGTGAAGTCTGGATTTCTTTCTTGAATCTTTATTTAGAGCTCCCTTCAGTAGAATTTAATCAGGATATATGCACTGTACATGTATATTTACCCATAAAGAATGTGTAATACGATGATGTTGCGCTGCACTGTCTATCTAAAACGGATACCAGTTTTTATTTTAAACAAGCAAAACAGAATCATATATGAACTTTGGGTGAAAGGGATCTCCATCTTGATTTATTTCATCCGCAGTTGATATATTGAAGTTTACCAGACGTACTTAATCGATAAACCGATAATCGATATAAATCATCAAGAAATATCGATTTCCGATAGAAATCGATAGTGATTTTTTTATCGATTGTTATCGATTACTATCAATTTCTATCGAGTGTTATCAATTTTGTTAATCGATAATAGTCGATAAATTATTTTTTTCTGTGACTTTGATTTCTATCGATTTCCGATATCAATCGATATTAATCGGTGGATTAAATATCGATGATATCGATTGATTTCCGATATCGATTTTAATCGATTTACGACGTCTGAAGTTTATTTGTTCATCCTCTCCATCTGATACCGCCAGTTCGAGCCCTCCCGAACATAAGCACTTGAAATTCGTAACGCGAAAAGTCCCGTGAAATAAGCTTCCATCTCATTTTTGTACCTTGGCTTATTTACTTAAATTCACCTTAAATTAACGTGGCTTTCCGCTGGCGTGACATAAAGTCCATGGATGCCATTATAAACGAAACCTTTCAAAAACATCCACGAAAGTAACATTTTTTTATTATATTGGGAACTAATTTGCCACGACATTGGCCTTATTAACCCATATCAAGTGAATGATGATATACACCAGAGGCGGATCTAGGGGGAGGGTGCAAGGAGTGCGCACCCCCGCTTAGATGACCTGCGGTTTTCTAATACAACTGGTATTCTGCAAAAAAAAAACTATGTGGTTTATTGGTGTTAAAGTAAAGCAAGAGACGAGTGCACCCCCTCCTAAAAAAAATCCTGGATCCGCATCTGTATACGGTGGAAAGTACTAGCTGCTTTTACTGAACAACTGGTTTCTGAAAAGCAAAATCGGTTACGCAGCAAAGAAATTGTCTCTGATAACACTTAAGTTATTTTAATCACTTTAATCCAAAAGTACAGCACTTTTAAAATTATGGTTAAATTAGACATCCATATACTGGGTAAATGAGAATGAAAAACAGAAAACGTATTTTCAGTTGAATAAGAACATTAAACCTCACAGCGACATACTCTGAAAATCCTATCTTAGCACTGTGGAGACTAACCCCCTTCGAAATTTCAGAGTGAAGAACTCCTTTCAATTAATTAAAATTACTTCGTCACCAGTAAGGGTAGGGCGTGGCTTGAACTTCACTGTATGTATTTTTAGCTTGTGAACAGACTTAGGGGGAGAGGGTAATGTATTTTAGCCTGAAGGCGAAGATACGTTCGTGGGACAAAGCATCTTAACGCTGCAGAATTAAAATTAAGTTCTAGTGCCCGACCCGTGATTGATGACAATAAGAGTAAGTTTCTATAACTAAAGAAAAAGCTGCGCCGCTGGTAAGCTCTGGTAATTTCCTCCGTTGAAGTTTATTTCTCTTTTCAAATAATACGAGGCTCCGATTGCGTGATTAGACGATAGTTAGTAGCCAGAGGAGACTGGTTATGAAAGCCGGCAAACATCAAAGTTGAAAACAACGGTGCTGAACTTTAATGGAAAGCAAGGGGATACGACTGGAGTCTGGTCGACAGTATTGGACAACCCCCGTAGTTTATGTTGGAAGCTCTCTGACCATGCCCAATCCCTTGCTTTTTGCTCACAAATTGTGACTGAATGAATTAAAGCGATGTTTCTATTGGTCAGTGAGTTCAAAATGATAAGAGTGCGATTGAACGTTGTTCACGGTCAGGTCCAAAAAAACTAACGAAAACATATGAAGAGTCGAACTGGTTTCATTACCATTCCACTTAAATATCTATGTTGTCATAAACTAAGTTCTTTAAGGGTAATATAGACCACAATAAAGAGATCAAGTGGTTTGAAATCAAGCATTGAATTCTTTTAATTAATGGCCGGTGGTGGGAATTGAGATGGGGCGATTGGATCCAAGTCTTAAGTCTCTTCTCTTGTAAATTACTAGGAAACTGTTTTTCCCAAGTTATAATTTTGTTAAAAAGACTCCGTTGTTGTTTATTATACTGTTAATATTATAAACCTCATTCCATCAGTGTTGCCTTATTATTACAACTATTTTATAAGAACCAATTCAACTTGATTTGGAAAGCGTTCGTTTTTTTGTATGAGAAGATAAACAGTCCTTTATTGTGCGTAAAATATATGAGACTCTTTTCAACCTGACATGAAGAATTGTAGGCTTTTATACGGGGGATCTTCGAGGGCTGATTCCGGAAAAGTGCGAATCCAGAATTCAGCTCAACGAATCCGGAATCCAAGCTCCACTGGCAAGGAATCCGAAATCCAAGATCTACTGATATGGACTCTAGAATTCAGTACCATGGCCGGAATCCGGATTTAACAGCTTGGAATCCAGAATCCAAGACTATCTTGAAAGTACCTTACATTGGGGCAGGGAAAAAGAGGAATTCACTCATTGTTGATTTAATTTGGATTTCAGTTCCAAAAGAGGTGTCACCAGGTTCTTTCTTTGAGGCCCCTACTGCCTCTCACTCTCGTGCCCAGATCTCCCTCTGACTTATGGTGAAAAGTGCCGTAGGAGATCTGGGTACGAGATGAACTTACCTCTTTCCCAGGCCACTAGCGCGCGGAAAACAGAGAGCACACGTGCTGTCCACAAAGCTGTCCACGCTTTGAGTAAGTACGTAGGGACATGTGGGCAAAAGAGAGAGAGAGGACTGTAAAATTTACGTTTTTGCCTGCTGAGTGAAGCGAAATCATCTCTGGTTTCAGTAATCGGCAGTAGGTTTGACAAATTGCCCGGTTCCAAAAAAAAGAGTTATAATTTACTGTCTGGGAACCAGGAGTTTTTCATGTTTGAAACTTCACGTCGCTTTAGTTTCAAAATAATGGGCTATCCCCATAATTCACGCTATCACATTTGGGGATATAATTTTTGGATAGTCTTATATTAAACAAAACAAAAACGTTTGCTTTCATGCGAGCAATTTAGAGAAGAGTTTATGACGCTCAATTAACACGTACCTGCATTTTCTGCATATAAGTCCTCTTTAGGTCGCCAAATTCTGAAGCTGGGGTTCATGTAATAGCTCGATTAATTTCATAGTTTGTTCCCTGGGCTTTGGAAAGTCACGGTATACATCCAACAATCATTTTAGAGACTCTCTCCTCCGCAGAGGCTCGCGCTGGGTATCCCAATAAATATAGCAATAATGGAGGCCTCTGTAGAGGAGGTTAGAGTCTGCGAGGTACAAGTCTTGTGGGATATCCTTTATCGGTTTTTTTGAACTGAGTTTTTTAAAGCTGCTAAGCCGGACCTTAATTTTTTTTTCATTAATTTCGAGCTAATTACGTACCACGCCTTTACAAGTAGTTTCCTGAAATTATGGTTGAAAAGCATTAGGAATGCGACTTTTTGGGTCGTTCGAGTGGAAAATGTTTGGGGACAAAAGTCGTGTGGTTTGTTTTCCATTTGCCCAAACCATGAACCAACCGGTCTATACCCATGTACTAAGTAAAAGACAATTCCAATCATGTCCCAAGAGCCTAGGCTACCCTTATTTAGCGGATGTGGAATGGATTCTTGGCGCACTGAAACTAAAAAGGCCAAGATCAGGGTTGCTGCCCCTGGAAGTAGGGACTTTAAGAGATCTAATGACGCGGACAGCAACGAGAACGTTAAAAAAAATACATAGGTTTAATATTAAGAAAAGAAACAACTTTGCACGTGCGTCACGCTTTTTTGTACATTTCTTTGCCCGTTTTTGCACGACTACGACGTGAAAATACTTAATTTCGTGTTTTATGGAGAACGTAACCAATCGACGACGGAATTATATTTCTCTTTCTGAGCTTGGATATAGTCACTTGAAATTCAGCTTCAAGAGGGTTCGCCTACATTTGACAAAGTAAGTGGGTACGAATAATCGCTATTAAGACTGAAAGAACACAAATTCACTTTTTTAAGCGACGTTCTCGTTGCCGTCGCGTCGTTGGATCTTAAAGTCCCTATTAAGATTGATGGAGAACCTGCCTGCGGGCTATTGACACCAAATCGCCCCATGTAAGGGAATCCAAGACAGTCCTGGATTCTTGATTCCAGGTACTGGATTCTAGTCTGTGTCAGCACACATTGGATTCGGATTCCTTGAGCTGTATTCCAGATTTCAAAGCCAGCATTCCCGATTTTACAGGGAAAATTTTTTCCTGGATTCCCTTTCATGGGGCGAAACAAAGGGAAAATTTATAAGTTCTAATGCCAAGATAACCTCGCCCTAGCTGTTAGAGAGAGAAACATTCAATAAAAACAATAAGGAACATGATAATTATTCACTAGGCTTTTATTTTTAGTTTTGATAGATTTCACAAGTAACTTGCAGCAAAAAGTACACCTAAACTGTATGGTTATTACACAGCTTCTCCTGGGACAGATTTTATGTGAACATGTTGCATGAAGGGCCGCGGGCCACAACAAAATTATCAGCATCCCTTGCAACTCTAATCACCTTAAGTTTTTATGTGTAGGGACTGGGAACAAATCTGGAATACCATTCTCAAAGGCATTTACAATTCATAAATTATACAAAAAAATGTTTGACAAGTGTTTGGAAATCAGAGGAAAAACTCCTCACTTTTGCATCCTTCATGTTTCTTTCTTTGCTTGAGCAGGAAATCAATGAATTTTTAATTCATTGATCACACTACAACATTTGTCAGAATACAGGGAGGCCACACAATCTGTGTGTGTAACCGATTGTTATTTTACAGTTAATGTACTGGATTTACCGTTTGCTTCATTTTATTATCGTAATATATCGCTAAATATGTATATAAAATTAAGCAATGTCAAATAAACATTTTATTACCTTACCTGTGGTTGTTTGAGGCAAAAGGACAACAGTATACCACAGGTAAGGTAATACAACGTTAATTTAACATTGATTTATATCAGCGTGCAAAGAAAGTAGTGTCCAATGGCGCAGGGCTAGTGGATTTTGCTATCGGGGTAGTGAATTTTGTTGTTAACTTGCCCGACAGGCAAGTGATGTTTATTGAGCAATTCAAATAACAGAGGAACTATATGAAATCAATTCTGCTCGTCAAAAAGCATCTGGGGCCAGTCGAAATGACGTCTGGGCTAGTAAATGCTAGCTCCAGCTTGCCCAAATGGCAGGCCGTAAAAATGATTTTCTTTGCACCCTGTATATACATATTAATTTTAGCAATATACCACTACAGATGAAGCAAACTGTAAATCCAGCAAATCATTATAAATTAAATAACAACTGGCTACTCACAGATTGTGTGGGACCCCTTTGGTCAAAAACACTCAACCGTGCACGTCACATTATCAACTCCCTTCTAATATTATTGTTTGATCTTGTGATGAAACAGTGTGTCTTATATGTTTTATGATATTACTTTGTAACTGACTTGGATGAATTTGAAAAATATGATGTAAGATTATTTATAAATTTATTTTAAATGTAAGATGATGATCACAAGGTGATAGAGGCAAAATAGTCAATCAAACAGCAAACAAGGGCTAGAAAAAGCTGCATTTTTTCTCTCTCTATGAAAAAAAATATTCAGATATAAGCCCACAGTTATGCAGGTATGTTGTAGTTTTAACACTTAGGATGTGGCTGAAATCCTCTTTGTTTACATGTATGTCTATGGATGAATTAATTTTAATACAGTTTGATGTTCCAAGAGAAAGGTTCATGGCATTTTTGCATGATACTGCATGTGACTTGTTTTAAAATGAATCTTAAAGGTGAACACTTTCCAAACTTTGACTTTGGTAAAAACATCAATGATCAAATCCTCCTCTGTTAACAGTGTATTCGTTAGGGAAGTCAAAGAAGAACTTGTTCGGTTGGCTTATCAAGGGAAGGACTCCAGCATTAGGAATTACATTCCAGGATAGGTAAAGACTGACATTCTTGTTTCCCCTGAAAAAAAAGAAAAAGAGACGAGAAAAGAAAAATCAATGTCCATGCACATGTCACTCACAGGTTTGACTGTGACAAGGCATTCATAATAATGTTGTTTGGTAAACTCACTTGAGTCCAAGACCATCGTCAAAGAAGTAGTACTTTGTATTCATGCCATGATAGTTCAGAAGAGCATTGTCTCCACGTAAGATGATCTTGTCCCATATCACCACTTGATTAAATTTCTGATTAAAAGAAAATCAATAAAATTAACATTTTTATACCACCTGAAGGCACTTGAAAAATAATTCCACAGTGTCTTCATGAGAAAAAAAATTATATTTTATGTCCTAAATGAGTTTAAAGCAAGACTTTTAAGCAGAAAAATGTTAGTTGCGGGTCAATCTTTTTTATTGATAATTGACTGAAAACATAAAAACAATTTGCGATAATTGATTATGAAAAATTTCAGTTCATTATCATAAAATTTATACGTTTTTGTTAACATTAATTTTAATCCATTGATGACCCTTTTCTGATACATTTTGTATGTATTAATAATTATTGTCATGTTCTTAAAAATTGACACAACCACCATGCTTAAATCTCTCCACTGGTGCTATTAAGAGAAGAGGTCCACCCAAAAGAGAAAATCAAAACTTTCATTACATTGACTTGCACAAAGGAGCACAATAAACAGAATTCTTATAAGAAATTTTTCTCCTTACAAATTGATGATTGAGGAGTTTCGTCAATCTGGTTATTTCTTATGATTGATAATGAATCTCAGCTGATTCCCAACACTAAATATATACCTACACTATTTAACATAGAGAAAGAAACACACATACATTATTCTTGGTTGAGTACTCTGCTGTTAAATACAAGAAAAGCTGCTTGACATTCCAGTTGAAAATTCCTTTCATATGTTCCATGAAGTTAAGGAAAACACTTGTATACGTACATGTTGAAAACACAAACCCTAAAACAAAGAACTTTCATCCCACTACGCTATAAAAAGTTTACATGATGACTCTTTAAGGGACCCTCAGTTGGTTTCTAGTGGTAGGTGAGGGGAGATAAGATCAAAACAAATTTTCTTGCAACAACATCAATACATCATTGAGATAAAAGGTTAATAAAGTGTTGACCAAGGGAAATGCTTTGATCGTTTATCAACTGCTCTCAACTACATGTAGGGACAACAGTCTGGAGAATGAGTATGAGGATACATTTGCTGTAAATCATCTATTAAGCCCCCCCCCCCCCCAGGG